AATTATTTTTCTGAAAGTTGTATGAGGTACTTCATTTTCCAAATAAATGCTTTATTTTTTATTCTGGATTATTATCAATAATTGTATATCTACAAAATTAGGTGTTGGCTTATGTCTTGAAATCAAAGAAAATCTATGTTCTGTAAATGACATTGAATGAAGGCCCTTGCATTTATCAGTGATACTTGATGTTAATTGAGAATATAAGGGAAATTAAATTTGACAGTGCTTTCTTAAAAAAAGATAGAAAGAAAGTTGTATGATACGGACACAGCAACACAGGGGGTAAGCAGGGCAGAGGTCTCCTTGATATACCTTGTATCTGAGATTTGAAAATAATATTCCTCACCTCCTGGCAGAGCTAGGGGTAACCTAGTCTCTTTTTCTTTTTCCTTTCTTCCATTCTCGTATAACAAAGTGACTGTTTTTCCCTCCCTAACAAAATACCCTGGTGCCACTCCTAGTATGACTTATTGAATGTTCAATCTTAATCACTTATTCTCTTATATTCACAACTGACATTTCTATATGCAATTTGTTTAAACTGGAAGTTCATTCTTTTTTTCAGTATTCATGGATAAATTGTATAGTACAAGGCTGTTAAGTGAATTAATATATATATATATATTGAAACTGCAAAAAAATTATAATATAACTTATGAATTCAGAACTGTAAATAAATTAAGCATTTTATCAAAACTGAAATGTATGTTTTGTTCACTTTGAAGTTAATGAGCAAAGGTATGCTAGAAGAGGTTTGAGAGTAAATCAAATGAAATGAAATGAGAGTGCAATGAGTGTCATTGTTTGAGTCAGATTTTGGGGGTATGAGGGGGGGGGGAGAATGAAAGAACAGAAATTGACCATTAAGGTATGATGTCATTGGAACACAATCATGAGGGGGCTGTCGAGGATGACTTGTGAGAGTGTAGCATTTATAAATATATATGTTCAAATATGTTAATGAATATCTTTAAAAAACAAAACAATTATGAAATTATATGAACTTTTGCCAAATCTTGTAATTTGTCATATGCATGCAGTTTGATAGTTGGAGCTGCAGCATTTATTCTTTGGATTTTTTAACAATTAGATAGATATGACGAGTATTTCTTTAAGTGATAAATCAAGTTTTAACCAAATGGAAATATTTAAGATTAAATATGTAGAAAATATAGATAAAATAGTTTAATGATAGACGAAAAGTAAGGGGTAGGAAGAACAAAATAGAAAATATGAAGTCTAGTATTTCGGGAAATGTCATATAAAGATTGCTTAAAATAAGCATTTATTCGCATGTGAAAAATTACCTGGAGAGGCTTAATATTTCATAAAATACTCTCTCGAGCATTTTTTTGGGGTAATTATAATTAAACTCATTATTATTAGGAGTATAGTAAATATTATTATTCGTGCATTAATTACCAAAAACTAAGTGACTTTACGAAGCGTCCTTAACCATACGCGTAGTATGCGCTTGTGTTGCGCGCATACGTTTCGTGACTTTACGAAGCGTCCTAAACCTAAGTTGCAACACCATCAAATCACGCGCATTCAATTTATGATTTTACGAAGTGACCTAAATGCTTATTGCGAGAAAATCAGCAGTTGCTGAAATGCCGCGATATGTTTTTCTACAATTATCATATTATTAAATTGAATTCATGCAAAAATGGGTGCAATATTACAAAACTAGAGAAGTTATGCTTTACATTGATATCAAACAAAACGGAAGGTTTCTGTAAACATCTGAGTAACGAGCGTCGGCAAAATGCTCTAACTTTTGAAGCGATTTTCTCCACAGTTTAGTTTTGCCTTTAAAAGGGGTTTATGACGGTTCGTAAAACCGCAGATGAATTGACATTTACCGGATCCAGATGATACAGAACATTGCAGCGAGACTGGTCACTCGCACTCCATACCAACAAAGTATAACTAGTACTCTGAAGAAACTACACTGGCTTCCTGTAGATAAGCGCATCATATTCAAACTCTTATTAATTACATTTAAAGCACAACATAGTTCTTCTCCTTCATACCTGACTGATTTGCTCAAACAATACCACCCACCCCGAACCCTCCGTTCAAGCAATCAAGCATTACTTTGTGTACCAAAAACCAATACTATATTCTATGGGGGCAGATCATTTGCAGTTGCTGGACCAAACCTTTGGAACAATCTCCCCAAATTCATACGACAGGCACCCACTGCTGCAACATTCAAATCTTCACTAAAAACGCACCTCTTTGGCCTTAATTAATTAGTTTAAACTATCCTGACTTACGTTCTTTGTTTTTGACCATGTTAGCTATCTCTTTATTATGTTATTTACTATGTTAAGTTAGTCATTTTAGTAGTATAAGATTTGTATATTTCTCTGTGTTGATTCATTTTATGTGATTATAATTATGCTTGTACAGCGCAAAGAGAAACTTATGTTTATTTTGCGCTATATAAATATTGTATTATTATTATTATTAAAATGAATAAATAGTATTAGAATTTGTAAGTTGGGCGAACTAATCTTATAACATAGACTTATGCAAATACATTACTTCTTCAAATGAAATTAAGAACAGACAAATATGAAGCACAATAGTAATTCCCAAAAGAACATAACTGACAGGAGCGTACGTAGGATTTTTTCGAGGGGGGGGGGGGGGGGGGGGGGTTAAAATTTGAACTCACGTCGAAAATTTCACAACGACTCGGCCAGCCGCTGAATAAGCGGGGGGGGGGGGGGGTTTCACCCGAAAATTTGGCCGACCGACATTTCGTTCAGTCGGGGGGGGGGGGGGGGGGGTAAGGTCACCTTTTTTGGTCACCCTTTATTTTTTTATTTTTTTTATTTTTTTTTTTAATTGAGGGGGGGGGGGGTTCCTCCAAAACACACACATAAACAAAAATTAGGGATGGGGGGGGGGGTTTAGACCCACCCCACCCCCCCCCCCCTTGCGTACGCGCCTGATAACTGATAAACACCTATATGGGGAACATAAATTATTTTTGTAAGGCATTGAATTATCACTACTTGTAGCAACCGAGTGAAAATTGTATTTTAAAACAACTTGACATTTTAATAATTAGCAATCGAGAATTTCTTCATTCTTCATCTTCTCAGAAATTCACTGATTAATAATTTGTATGACTCTTCAGATCGAGCAGAAATTCATTGAAGTATCTCTACTTGTAGCAACCGAGTGATAATTGCATTTTAAAACTTGACATTTTAATAATTAGCAATCGAGAATTTCTTCATTCTTCTTGTTCTCAGAAATTTACTGATTAATAATTCATATGACTCTACAAATCGATCAGTGCCAATGGGAGCGTAGTGACCGAGCGAGCGAGGAGAGTTTCCATTTTAAATTAGTGATGGCACTTGAGAGCTGAAATAATAGTATAGGCCTATAGTGTGTTTTCGTTTTCCCATATAATTATGTTATTGTTTGTTTGTTTCTGTGTGTTTTTTTCTTCTAATAATCCTTTGGATTTCCGCCCATGCTGGCAGTCAAGTATTGTACGTGTCTAACTCAGTTTTGAAAATACTTTTTCTTTCATGATATTGCTTAAAGGTAAAGACCAGTATTGGAAACGCCCCAATTTCAAAAAATGAAATAGAAGCTCTCATTACCAATCATGTGAAAGAATATGTTTTGACTCATACATGATGATAACAAATTTGCCGGGAAACCACCTACTAATTCATATATTTGGTAAATTTGTTTCTCTCATGGTCTGTGAGAGATATAGGGTAGTCCCATATACATCTTTCTGTGTATAGTGCTTGTAACTTTACGAAGAATGGGCCAAATTTCTTATCATTTTGATGATTCCAGAACCTTGCAGATGCTAGATGCTAGATGATCAACCTTTTCTTATCGATTCCACAACGTTTCTTTAACAATGCAATCGCATGACCATAACCTTTAAGCTTAAGTATGGTTGGCTTATGAGACGAAGGTCTACTGGAGGGGAGAAACTCAGCCATTTAGATTTCTAAAAGACGTTCGATCTCCTGTAAACATAGATATGAAACTGAAGTTTTCTGTAACACATGTAGTTTTATTTTGGCTGCCTTGTTGCTCGTTATTTTTTCTTTATTTCTCTTTTTTCCCCCCTTTATCTCCCTCTTTAATTGTTCTTCGTCCATCCTATATCGCTATGCCTTTTCTCGAGTTTTTTTTTTTCTTCCTTTTTCGATATCGTTCTAATTCTTTCCTTTATCTTTTATCTTTCTTTTTTTTATATGCCTTTTTCTATTTCCATTCCATTTTCTTTCCTCTTCCTCTCTTTTCTTTTTCTTTCTTGGCTTCTTTTATGTCCTTTCCTTACTTTATTTTCCCCTTCATTTACTTTTCAGTTTAGTTCCCCTCTTTCTCTTTTTCTCTCCTATTCAATTCGTTTCTGACATTTCTTTATTTACTTTCTTTTCTCTTTCATTCATTTTCATCCCTTTCCTTCCATTCTTTTTTTTTTCTTTCCTTTTCCATTACTTTTCATTTCTCTTTTCTTCCTTTGCTCTCCAAAGGTCCGTAAAATCAACTAACATTATTATAGGCTTTTTTGTTATCACTTTGTGATATTTCAGTACAAGCTATGGTCTTGGCCCAGTTGAATAACTAAGCATTGATGGTAATTAACTTCAATGGAAACTTTGGTTTGATTGGCTGTTGAGGGATGTTGCCATGGTAAAGTTACCATCATAGCAATGTGTCACCACCCTAAATTAAGGAAGATGGATAATCGAGACGTAGTTCCATTTGTCTTGTGTAAAGTGAGTGACAGGTAGTCAATGTACAAGTATATGCATAATAATCACTAAAGGATCTATATTAATTCTAGACAAAGGTGTATCAACTTTTATGTTGCTAAATTTTGTGGGGAGAAAGTGTGATGAATAATATTTTTTTCACGTAAAGTTCAGCGCTGGAAGGATGCAGAACATGATGCAGAAGACTAGAGCCCCTGCTGCAAATTAAAGAGCGCCATCTACGCCAAATATGCGGAAGAGGCTGTCATAGCAACTGCCGTCAATCAGTTCGACTTGATTTGAATGACCAGACGAAAAACAGTGAAAAACGTTTAATTTTGAATTATTGAGGGGAAATAACAATACAGCATGGGTGACCAACAGCGGAAAGCAGTGAATGGTGGAGAGGAGAATAATTCAGATGATATTGATCGCCTTGAATTGATGTCCACAATTGGTTTCAATGGTAAGTCGTTGCCCGTGGTTTCAGCACCCCGACGTGACCCGGCCCTCGCCGCATAACAGCAGGGCAATGTCAGGGCTCGGGTTTTGGTGCGCAGCGTTCATGAGCTGCCTGGTATGGCGTGGCATGGCCTAGCCCTAGGACGTGTAGTGACGGAGCGGAATATAACTTACTGGGCCTAAATCTTAACTATAATTACATATAAACGACTATAATACGGATTTATCCTACCATAGGCTGTATACTATACTGCTTGAAGTCTGTCTCAAGAAGCGCTTGAAGTGTTGCTCGTTGAGTGGAGCTCCACCGTCGCTAGTAGTAGTAGACCGAAGAGACAGAAGAGACGGGCAATCAACAGTGTTTGTCGCGTGCAGTCTCAGGTTCAATCTAACGTTCCCAGTGATAAGCACGCCCGCGGAAACTACCGCGGGTGTCGCCTAATGCGGGACTTACGCGCATATGCCGCCAGAGCCGTAGTGGCTCAGGCTGAATCACTACAGACGTTTGGCAATGTAAATGAAAGAAAATGAAAATGTATAACCGTTATCTGATTATGAGAAGTAATAGTCGGCCACCTTTTAGTTGTATGATTGAATTTCGAAATGATGGCGTCTGTGAATGTGTGTGGCATGGCCATGACTGAGAAGTGAGATTGATCATTGAGAACAGTCAGTGAGTCACTGAGTGGGCGCTGGTCGAGTATGAGAGAGAATGATAATAATAATAATAATGGTGGCTTTTTATATAGGGCACATGTCCATCACATTGTTTATCTGCATAAACAAGGATATCCCCGTTTTAAAACGCAGACAAAATGCCTCCCAAAAAATAAAGATCTTCTCAAACGTTTTTTTTCTTCGTTCAGTACACTCCAAAAACCCCCATGGTAGTTTGGTACATTGCTGGTAATTTGTAGTGATTTACATGTACCTTGTGTCTGCAACATATGTGAATATTTTAAGCCTTAACTAAGCGTAAAGCCAAAAGTAGAATTCAGAAAATAAGCATGTTATTGTTACACTTCACTGTTAAAAAAGCTTAGAAATTCATTATGGATGTGATTAAATTGTTTTCTTTGATGACAAGCCATCTTCCCTTTGTATTTCCATCTTCAGGATCAAGCCAGGGCAGCTTATCGGTGCACCCTGACAGGAATCATATCGTCTATCCCCTTGGCAACACCGTCATCGTTGAGAATCTCAACTCTAAGAAACAAGACTTCCTACAGGGTCACACAAACACTGTGACCTGTGTCACCATCTCACGCAGTGGCCGCTTCATAGCATCCGGCCAGCAGACTCACATGGGTTTCAAGGTATGGCAAGCTTTTGTTCTTCATCAGATTTTACAATACATGATCTGGTGACAATTGGTTGGACCCAACACTACTCCTCACACTCTATCAGACATTTTATACTAAACGTAGCATACACGTAAATTTCATTCACAACGTAGGCCCAATCATTTATCTTTGGCGAAATGCAACCTGAAGCAAATCAACCACACCAAAATACCTCAGAGTTGTAGGGCAGTTTTACTGACTGAACTACTGAAATATGCCTGCAAATTGCCCCCAACTGTTCTTCCAGAAGACGAATCTGACAAAGAGTCATATGTTGTCTATCCCCTTCGCAACGCCATCATTGTTGAGGATATCCACTCAAGAAACAAGACTTCCTACAGGGTCACACAAACATGGTGACTTGTGTCACCATCTCATGCAAAAGACTTCCAGAAGACGAATCTGACAAGGAGTTTTGGGAATATTTGGTACCTAAAGTAGCAAAACTTTTAAAGGGACATTGAAATTGATGTAGCATTTTTTTCTCCAATTCTTTGCAGGCCATGATCATTGTCTGGGATTACGAGAAACGTTCGGTCCACTGCAAGCTAGACCTGCATAAGGTCAAAGTTCAAGACCTGGCCTTCTCACCCAATGACCTCTACCTTGTGTCTCTGGGAGGTCAAGATGATGGCGCTATCGTGATCTGGGATGTGATGAAGAAGGAAGCAGTGTGTGGATCAGAGGCGGCTGTCAAGAGCGCAGGGACTACGTACTGCGTTGCTGCAGCCAACCAGAGCGACTTCTTATTTTTCTCAGGCGGAGAGTGAGTATTTGTACATGCATGTTGTTCACTACCGATCAGGGCCTGTTGCATGAAACTTACCATTGATGGTAACTTTGCCATTAATGGCAGCTTCCATGGTAACAGGGCTCAACAGCCAATCCAAATCAAGGTTTCCATGGTAGTTACCACTGATTGCAAAGTAATTACCATCATTGGTACATTTTGTGCAACAGGGCCCAGAGTACTAATTTTAAGTGTGGGACGTACTCACTGAGTGAAGCCATTTGAGCGCCGCCATTTGAGCGTCATATTGATCTGAGCCACAAATTGCCCAGCTTTTTACTTTCAGAGGCATGATAATTTAGCACTAAACATCACCAAACATGGATGAAAATAACTTAATGTGAGATACTCCGATATCAACCAAGATAGGCTTGTATAAATTGTCAAATTTCAGCATAAGAACATTTAGATCTTTTAAACAACAATAGTAGATCTAGCAGATGTTTCCTGTTCTATCAATTTTGGGAACCCAGGTACCCGCCTGACATGTTGGTAAGGGTAAGGGTGATAAGGTGATAAGGGTAACTTTTTATTGGGTACCTAATATCTAGCATTCTAATTAGATAGTTTAGCACCGGTATCACAGATGTCTAATGATATTACACATTCCATTTGACATTGTAATTTAGTTTTAGATGCCCGTCTAGAATCTTGCCATTGGGAATTGCAAGATTATGCAAACCTCCTAATCTATCTAAAAGAATGAAGAATACAAATTAACTGTTTATTGTGTATCTAACCTTGAAAATGAGACAAATGAGGCCGGGTCAGATTTACAGATATCTAATGCTCCTTCCATCCCTTTGAACATGATATTTCAGGCGTACATTGCGTGTTTGGGATCTAGACGTGGAGAATCGAAAGATCAGGCCTACTGATGTATCATTGGGACAGCTCAAACGAATCGTCAAGAGCATTGTGGTGAGTTTAAAATTTGTATAAAAGGGCAGTTATATGGAAAATATCAGGCAGAAATGAATAGGCCTTGGGGTGACATTTCGGTGTTATCAATATAATTTAACATATTCTTTTCTACAAGTATGACTTTGCTGATTTCTATCTTTTAAGATTTCATTTAGTCACATATGAGGTGATCTGTAAAAATTATGCAAGATTCCTAAAGCATAACTAATTTTTGTTAAATGAAAGCATAAATATGAATGTAAAATGAATAGTTTATGGAATAGCTAAAAGAAGAAACAAGGATTAAAAAAAAAATCGGGGGGGGGGGGGGAGGGGAGGAGTTGCTAGATGCACTCTAAAACAAAATTCTGCCAGGTCACACCTGGGTCAAGAAAGGCAAGTTGATAAAATGCATTGATTAACAGCATATGCAATGGGCAGAGATACAAGCCCTCTACAGTTGATCGGGAGTCTGTTGAAAGAACTTCTCCACCATGACTACCATGACTTGGTACTCCACTCAATTTGACAGGCAAAAAAAATATCATTATTGAAATATTGATTTTATAATGATCATCATAATTGATGGGTTGTATAGGTTGCACCTGAGGACGACTACTTCTACTGCGCCACTACCACAGGCGACATCCTGAGGATCATTGCCAGCACTAAGATGCTCAGCTGCTACGGACCCAAGAAGGACCTCTTTGGGATGGGCGTGACTTCACTGGTCCTTGTCAAAGACGGTACCTTCCTCCTCGGCACTGGGGACGGCACTGTGGCCCACGCAAAGTTCATCGATGACAAATTCAAGGTCATTAAGTGAGTAGCGTTGCCAATTTGAAGAACTCGCTTATAAGATACCGTATTTACCTGTTGGACTAGGCGTTGTGGCGTGCATCTGTAATCCAGCTAACAATATAAGTTACAAACTGATTCAGCTGAGGACGCAAGTTCAAAACTGAGTCACGTCTTTCGGATGGTGACGCTTAAATGTCCGTTCGCAGACATAAATAATCATATCTGATTGATTCTTGTCTTTAAAAACCTAATACACACACACACACACATGTTGACTCCTGAATTGTTTCATTCCCTCGGGTTCCTTAAAGAGAAGGTTGAGTTCTGGGAAGAGGTGAAAAATAATTTGTGAGCGTTATCATTCTTATCATGCAAGTGTGGAAGAACATCAGATAAGATATGTTCCCTGAAAAGCATGGCTCTTCAAATGCCTTCATATTCTCAATATATCATGTATTGTAACATCGTAAAAATCCAGGGTAGGATTTTTACGCCACGTGTTTGTGTAGTCTCATATACATCTTTCTGTGTACAGTGTTTGTAACTTTACCAAGACTTGGCCAAATTTCTTATCATTTTGATGATTCCAGAACCTTGCAATACACACAAATTCTTCTATGCTAGATGATCAACCTTTTCTGGTTGATTCCACACCGTTTCTTTCACAATGCAATCGCATGACCAGAACTCAACTTCGTCTTTAAAGACCACTTACAAAATCAAATAGTACTTGATACTCGATCTCCTTAGCAGCTCACTCAGGAAGCTATTCTAAATAGTACATAGGGTGGGGCGAGTGTAGCTGCAAGGAGTGCCATGAAGTGCAGATATGGTGTGTGGATAAAGCACTTATCAATGTTCAGTAAATGAATAGAATTTACTTTGATAAAGCATACGATTGGATAGAAAGTGAAGTAGAATAGTTCTTTCGTTTTGATGTTCTCAACCCATTGTGTATAGGACTGTGTGGATCCCTGTGGAAAAAAGACAATTTAGGAGTCGGTGGATTAAATCATATATGTAGATTAATTATATCTAATCACATTTGCTGATTAAAAGGATTACATTTATCTAGATATGGTTGCCAGCATGCACTTCATAAATGCTAATTCAAGGTTTAAGAATTGAATTATTTCTTTGAACTAAGTCTCTTTTTTTCTTCATTATCATTGTAGGAAGAAGAAGATTGACAAGGCTGGCCACATTACTTCCCTTACTTTAAGAGGACAAGGTCATCAGGTAAGACGTCATCCTATTTATTAACCCACATCAGCACATTGAGTGATTTCAAGTTGAGTGTTTAGGGCTGGTGTTACAGAGTGACAATTAGATAATACGATATCACCTCTTAAAATATGATTATAAAAAAAAAGAAAGATTAAAAATCCAATAAAAACCCATAAAAAATGCAGAAATGCATAGAAACATGTACAGGTAAACCCTGTAACCCCCCAAAAAACTTTGCTTGACAATTTCCTCATTAAATCTTAATGAAAGAGCAAACATTTGTTTGACAGTTCTTACCTGTAAAACATTTTCCTGAATTTTCAGAGCAATTTAATTGTAACTAATCATTAAAGTCTCTAAATTGGCAATGCAGTATAAAATATAAAATCACTATTTTTGTGTACAACTTGGCAAGTTTTTGGTTAACTTCAGCTATTTGACAATGACTGAGGCAACATTATGGAATGTTTTTTTGCTAAGATCATAAAAGAGAATCAGCATGCGTAAAAGTGTAAAGGTGGTTGAATAGATATGTTTCTGAGAGTCTGCTCCTTCTGTTACACTTGAAACTAATATGCCTGTTTTGTATTTTATCTTTCTTCACAGTTCTTTGTCGGGACGTCCAATTCACATATCTACCGATTCAACTTCTCAGAATTCACCTATGAAATGATCAGGACGTGTCATTATGAAGAGGTCAATGATATCGCCTTCCCAAAGTAAGTCACCCTCAAAACAGAAAGTCAAGGTTTTTTGAGAAGTCCTGGGCCTCATCTTATGCAATTTATGTAATTGATTCAGAACAATTTATGTAATTGATTCAGAACAATTTATGTAATTGATTCAGAAGAATTTATGTAATTGATTCAGAACAATGCAATGCAATTGATTCAGACCAAAAGAACATAGCAAAAGTCTGGAGACTAATATTATCATATTTAAAGTAAAATACAAGAAAATACATGAAATAAGGCTATAGATTGTACATTAATATATAAGTAATTCAATAACCACTAAAAACAAGAACATGACTTAATGTACATAAATTATTATTATTATTATTATTATTATTAACATAATTCCCTCATCTCATTCTGTGTACCAACCAGAGGTTGCTCCGAGCTCTTTGTGACAAGTTCAAAGAATGACATCAGGGTTTGGGAGACAGCCTCCTGTAAAGAGCTCATGCGTATCAATGTCCCAAACATGGAGTGCCATGCTGTCTGCATCATGCCTGATGGCAAGAGCATCGTTTCTGGTAAGAAACCTGTACCATTTTGAAAATCAAAAGGCTTTCGTAAAAAAATTATTTTGCTATTAAAGGCCCACTTTACTACTTGTAGCTACTTGCTCCCTCTATAAAACAGTGCATAATCGGTGACCATTGTTCACCATGATCCTCTTTCTTATGTTAATTGAGAGCTGAGTTGAGATAGCCACCTGTCAGTGACCTTCCTGGGTGGTCTAATCCCTCCTAGCCAAACTAGTACAGCCGCCCTTTAAAAGTACTTGATATATTTCAGAGATTTAGCAAGATAATCCTGTGAAACATGATATGTAAACAAGTGATAAGAGGTTTGGTAATTGTGCATAGATAATCGATAGGCACAAACAAAATCTTGTTTATGAGGGCTATACTTGCTCAAATATTTAATGCAACCTCAAAATTTGATTGGATTGTGTCTTTAAAATGCATGATGCAAATTTTCAAGAGCTTGGGGCCACATTGCCTTCAGCTCCTATCTCTGTTATTTTTTTGCTGTGTAATTTTCTCAAACATTGAGTACTGTAAATTGGTGATGAACATTCAAATTTGGATGATATTGTGGGATCTCGTCGTCTGGGGCGATAATAAATACGATACAGTAGAGAGTCTGCCTCGTCACAGCCAGAGGGCAAGTTAAAAACAGAAACAGTATGTAGACAGGACTCGGATCATACCAACTGTCCGACATGACCTTTGTCAGTCAGTTGATGAAGTGGTTTTGCAATCTTTGCAAAACCTTCTTAAAAAAAACCTCTCTTAACACAGTCATAAATTTCAATCATACTTTCATTAAAACAAATTCACATCCACTCAGGTAAGACTTTTAAGACCACTGATGTTGATCCTAATGATGATGGTCATAATATTTATGATGATTGTGATGAAGATTATGGCATCATTGATTAGGATGATGATGCTGGTGGTGGTGGTTGTCGTAGTGATGTCACTGGAGGTAGTGATGTTATTGATGATAATGCCGACGATGACGGAGAACGATAAACCTGATTAGATAATATCACTCTTGGAATCATCTTCGTCTCACCTTTTTTCTCTCTACCCCAGCATGGAATGATAACAAGATTCGTAGTTTCCTGCCCCAGTCTGGGAAGCTGTTGTATGAGATTGCCGACGCCCATAATAAAGCAGTGACGGCCCTGGCAGTCACCAGTAATAACAAGCGTATCATCAGTGGAGGAGGAGAGGGTCAAGTAAGAAGACTCTTTGTTATTAACACGATACATTTGTAATAATTTAATCTATTTGTGCTTTCTGAAATGCCTTTATAAGTATGCTATTCTGGTAATCATATCCGATGGTTATTCTTTTCGCAAAATATCAAAGGTAGTCTGAAAATCATGTGAGAATTCATAGCATCATTGCTTTCTAAGAACATATCAGTGCTGGGTCCCTTGCATTAAACTTATCATTGATGGTAGCTTTGCCATCAATGGCAACTACCATGGTAACAGGGATCAACAGCCAATCAAATCAAGGTTTCCATGGTAGTTACCATTGATGGCAAAGCTACCATCAATGGTAAGTTTTGTGCAACATGCAGGGCCCTGGTATTCTGAAAATTTGAGGTAGAAAAACTTTTATCTGACTACTGTTGTTTCATTGTAAAGATCAAGGTTGTATTCTTCTGTTTTCTTTCCTTTCGCCTCATTTTCTTTCTCTCTCTATCCCCCCTACTGTGTTGGGATGGTCTCCAAGCTTTGCGACTGCTTCACTGATTCCCAATTATTTTCTTTTGATAGGTGCGTGTTTGGGATATCTTCCCTAGAGAGCAGAAGCTCCGGCAGACCTTGAAAGAGCACAAGGGCGTGGTAGCCTTTGTCCGAGTCAACCATTCCGACACAGAGTGTGTCAGTGCCAGCACCGATGGAACCTGCATCATCTGGGATCTTCAGTAAGTCCAAACTGCGCACCGCACAACTTAATCATGACTAGATTTTTGGAAGGAATGCCATAATGATGCTATTCCATACAGTGCATATTACTTGATATTTGAATTGGAATTTGTCATCCCAATGGGCTTCGATTCACAGATCTTTGGAATTTTTTTTTGCAGCTTTAGCTACGGCAAAAATTATTTGCACATACCTTATTTCAATTCTAAGGAACAATCCTAGGATACTTTACCAAGTATTATGAATTGCATTATGGAGCTATGAACATGAATTGACTTGAAATATCATTTTAGTTGAAGTTTTGTCCAGTAGATCTATCTGCTTTGATACAGTCATCAGAGATAAGGTTGATAATGCATGGGACAAAACAAGGGAAACGCTCTCGGCGGTCTCGCCTGCATAACGCAATTCAATATGATAAACCAGAACTTCAATGACGTAGCGCTCATCCGCATCTCGCAACAAAAATATCGTAAATTTTATGTGGTACACTTTTGGACTGGTCAAAAAATAAAAATTTGATGCCCTGGAAGGGACATAATTTCATTTCATTCGCATAAAGAACCATAAATAATCAATGGAGCAAAATCTCAAAATTCTGTGTATAAGGTTAATGTTCCAAATTTAGCTCTACCAGATAAGGCAAACCAAATCAAAATCGGTCAAGAAATGAGGGAGAAGAAGCAATTTTTTTAATTTTTGGAATAAATTTGCATAAATTACCATAACTAATTAATGGAAACAATTTCAAAATTCTGTGTAGAAGTTTAGTGTACCAAAGTTAGCTCTACCAGATAAAGCAAACCAAATCAAAATCGGTCGAAATATGAAGGAAAAGAAGCATTTTTTTGTGATTTTCAATTATTTTTAGAATAAATTTGCATAAATTACCATAATTAATCAATGGAGAAAAATCTCAAAATTCTGTGTAGAAGTTTAGTGTTCCAAATTGAGCTCTACCAGATAAGGCAAACCAATCCAAAATCGGTCAAGAAATGAGGGAGAAGAAGCAATTTTTGTTATTTTTGGAATAAATTTGCATAAATTACCATAATTAATGGAAAACAATTTCAAAATTCTGTGTAGATATTTAGTGTACTAAAGTTAGCTCTACCAGATAAAGCAAACCAAATCAAAATCGGTCAAGAAATGAAGGAGAAGAAGCATTTTTTGTGATTTCGAATAAATTTGCATAAATTAGCATAGATAATGAATTTCACGATTCTGTCTAGAAGTTTTAAATCCCCCTCCTAGCCCTATCATATGAAACAATCAGAATAAAAATCGGTTGAAAAATAACGAAGAAGAAGCATTTTGAAAATCTTGGTGTTGATACCACAACAAAGTCTAAGTTTGTTGACCTTAAATGACCTTTGACCTTAACTTAGTGACCTGGGCCCGTATTCAATTCAATACTTAAGTACAAAATTTTAGCTTTTTACTTAGTATTTGGCTTAGAAAAAATACTTAGCCAACTTTGGTATTCAATTCACACTTTTGGCTAAGTATTTCACTCTAAATCTAAGCCAACTCCATACCAGACTTAAGCAAATTATTTGGAGGCCTTGATTGGCAGGCATATGGTTTTCTTACGCAGTATCATAACCTGCGCACAATTATATCAGCGCGCATTTATTGCAATGCATCAATTGCGCATTACTTTTGATTGACCGTGTGACGTCACAATGCTTATAAGTAAGCATTTTACTTAGATGTTGTCTTACGTAAGTATAAGTCTAAAATGCGATTTGAATACGAGATAAGTAAATTACTTAACTTAGCCATTTACTTAGTAAATTTCTTACTTATGCTAAGTATTGAATTGAATACCGGCCCTGAATTCTACTCACATGATTGGGGAGACTTGATAACCCTATGGTTCAAGTTTCTTTGACTAAGAACTTATACTTTCAAAATTATATCAAAAATTAAAAAACTTAACCTTAGGTTAAGTTTTCGATGATGATGCTACAACAAAGTCCAAGTCTGTTGACCTGAAATGACCTTTGACCTTGACTTTGTGATCTGAAATTCTACTCACATGATTGGGGATACTTGATTACCCTATAGTCAAAGTTTCATTGACTAAGAACCTATACTTTAAAAATTATATTAAAAATTATATTAAAAATTCAAAAACTTAACCTTAGGTTAAGTTTTTGATGTTGACGCCGTCGTCGCAGTCGCCGTCACCGGAAAAGCGGCGCCTATGTCTCGCTTTTTGCTTTTTTCGCAGGCGAGACAAAAATTGAACTTAACCCAAATAACTTTTCTGCTTCTTTTTCCCTGCAGTAAATTTGTACGGAGCCAGGTTGTGTTTGCCAACACCCTGTTCAGGTGTGTGTGCTACAGTGCTGAGCAGAGCCAGATCATTACATGCGGTACAGACAGGAAGGTAAGAATTTGGAGTTTACGAACCTGGGTAGAGAGAAGCAAAGACTATAAAATGCCACGCAAAGTCTAACATACGAATACTGCATATGCTTTTTTCGTTTCAGGCATGAACTTGAGCTAGCCTCATTTGCGGATCCATAAATTATCAATTCAAGATAGTTGCCCTTGTTTTGTGTTGCCAATTTGAAGAAGTGCTGATTAGTTACAACCTTTCACAATGCCTGTCCTAGGCCCCATTTCACAAAACTTGTCATCGGTGACAAATGACAGTCTTTGTTATAAGCTACTGCATGAAATTCTTGCTTCTGATTGGTTAGCAGCTGATTTGTCACTGATTTTGGTCATTTGTCATTGAAAAAAGGCTTTGTGAAACAGGTCCCTGAATGGGATAAATCATTCACGTTCCCTCCTTCACCTTGTCTTGATTACAGATTGCATACTGGCAGGCCGGGGATTCCAGCCAGATCCGTGAGGTGGAAGGGTCTAAGGGAGGCGCTATCAATGCCATGGACATGTCTAGTGATGGCAGTAACTTTGTGACCGGTGGTGATGATGCTCTTATCAAGGTACAGTCACGTCTTTGTTATCATCTTTAGGAATAAGAACTATCTGTGCAAAGAGCACTGTTATAACAACATACAGTACCTGATATATAGCAAAGTGATTTTGCTGGTCCCATCAGCTCTTTACATTCTTTTGTATTTGTTTTACCCTACTAAAACAAATTACCTGGGGGTGTTTCATAAAGCTGTTTGTAAAGTTACGCATGACTTTACAAATGATTTAAATATAAAAAGCCAAATGGAATGTTCAATATTTCTTAACTACATCAACTAAATTTGAACTTTCAGTTGTAGTTTAACATTCTTATTATCTAAACATTTTTAATGCAAGGTATATTTTTTTCCATAATTTGATTGAGGTTATTGGAAATATAATCACACTTTGTTAAAACATCAGGAAAAACTTTGGGCATCCTATCTGGCACTTCATATTCAAGTTGTTTGTAAAGTCATGCGTAACTTTACGAACAGCTTTATGAAACACCCCCCAGATATGATAAGGTAATTATCATGGTCTCGAGTTACTTGTTACCGTATGGATGTCTATGAGTCAAACACCTTTCTCTGACACGTACCCGCAGACTGATGTTAGCTTCCAGATTTCCGATCGCCGCAACATAACATTTTGGCTATTGCCGCGTCTGAAATGTCAGGCAACTAGTATGCGTCCCCATTTCTGTTCATTTTGTTGGTTGTCCTTTTAATCCAGATGGCTTAGGCCAATCCTGGTTCTGTATACAAGAACCATATCAATATAGCCAATTTTTACCCAAAATATGCCAAATTTCTTTTTAGTGATTTAATGGGAATCACTGTGATACACGCTAACACATTCTTATTGTCTTCTCTGTTTCTGCAGGTATGGGATTATGTAAATGGTGTCGTAACCAGCATCGGTGTCGGACACTGCAGCGAAATCAAGCGCCTGCGCATCTGCCCTCATCAAAAGTACATCATCAGTGTCAGCAAAGATGGAGCTATCTTCCGCTGGAAGTACCCCTCCAACTGCAGTCTTTGAAGATTGAAGATAGCAGCACAAATTTGATCCTTTGGTAGGTAGTGCTGAAGAGATAAGCTACTGTGAAAAGGGATTCAGGTATCTCTAGGGGAGAAAGGAAAGAGTTTAAGAGACTTTTTTCCCTGTTTGTGAAAAATTTACCTCTGCCAGCTTTTTGAGACTTGTGTTTATATCTTTTTCTGTCATTGCCAGACAAAAAATTACATATGATTTATAAAGATAGTTTCAGAGACATTAAAATGGAATCAGTTTGTTGGAAACTGTCAAAGGGCATTCATGATTTACTGACAAATTTGAGAGAAAGAACTTGTGATACTCTAGGAAAGGAAGCTGTTATCACCTCTTGTTATGTAATATGGCTGACAATTATTCTTGTTGTGAAAGAATGATCCTATTTTGGGGCCTTCAAATTTATGAACTAAACCCTAGATTATTCTTTTGTTCTGAAAACTTCGGTGAAAAAAGTATACAAAATAAAATTGTATTCCTAATTTTGATTTCAGATATTCATAATTTTTGTTGGAAAAAGTTTGCAGGTATGAGATCGTAATGGGGAAAATATTTTGGTTTGAATAAAGAAAAAAAAGATGCATTTGACTTTGATTTATGTTGTATTTTCATGTGCAGATTGTATATGGCTTTAAGTCAAATAAGACTTTGGCTTTCTTGTGTAACTCAATGATAAGACTATAGACTGGAAGCCAACGCAAAGGCCCATTAGTTTGTTATAATAAACTTTGAATTCTGGCAGTCTTGATTAAGCAAACCTTTCTCTTTAAAAATGTTCCATCTGGATTCTTTTTCCATTTATCTGTGTTTAGGATAGGATCATCTGCATGTGCCCCCCCCCCCCCACTTGACACATAAACTATATATGAATTCACAGCATACAGACTCCCTCCCCAATAAAATTTGGTGACATTTTTCTTTTAGATATTAGAATAATACGATTTTCGTCATGACTCACAAATCTTGAAACCTTGATGAAAATTAAATTATATAAAAAGTAACTGATTTGTACCAAACCTTGAAAAGCGATATTTGACACGGCAATATGAATGATCCGTCCAGCCATAAATCTATTTATGTCGCCCTCATGATATTTCTACCTGATTTGCACCTTGATTTGGTCTCGTCGTGTTGACAAGTGACACAGAGTTGTTCCTTTGATTTAGATATAGAAGTAGATATGATTTTTATTTCATTCCGGACTTAATTTTGAGTTAAGAAAAAAAGGTTTTTTGTTAAGAATGTGAACAAAAATCTCAAAGATATGCTGAAAGAGAAAGAATATTGAAAATTATATATGTATCATTCATAAGAAAAAAACTATTGGCATATCATTTTGATGTTTGTCACAAAAAGCAGCGTTTTCATATTGTTAATGAAATTTTATTTACCGCATATTTGGAGTCTTGGTAATTGTAGTACCGTATAACACATTGTAAACTCAATGGAATTCTATGGAGGTACAAATAGTTTATTTATCTTTAGCAAAATCAAGAAAATAACATGGTGGTTATACTTCGATGTAACCCAATAGAAATCATAAAAACATTCCTAGCTCAAACTTAATTTGAAGTTAATGTTGTATATATTTCTAAGGCATTCTAAATGTATCCATCATAGATTTTTCATTTTAATTTAGAATACTTGTATGAATTCAATTGTCTATTAACATAAACAAATTTGTATGAATTCAATTGTCTATTTACATAAACGCATTCTACAAATAGAATACTTGTATGAATTCAATTGTCTATTTGCATAAACATAAACACATTCTACATATAAATTACATGTACATTTACTGAACTCTAAGTTTTGTGTGAACTTCTGTAACATAGTATACCTATGAAATGTTTGTAAGATACATGAATTGCACATATTATGACAGATTTAATAAATAAAAACTTTTGTTTTATGGACCTGAATGCATTTGTTAGTTTTCTTTATTACATCAATTTTGCTGTTGAAATCTATGGAAAGGTACTGTCTATAGCATTTTGGGGCTATCATTGAAACTTGTCCCAATTTGTTTTCTAACAAGGAAATGAAAGTGACATCAAACAAACAAAAGGAAGGGAACTATTCTTTCTCTCTCTCTCTCTCTCTCTCTCTCTCTCTGAAAAAAGCGTAATATTTGATTTAGTTTTTCATGTTTCTCATAGGTGATAATCCTTGTTTTAATACCCACTACAGTTTTAATCCATGCGTAAGCCAAGAACAATGATTAGAAAATTAATGAAACTGTATATGAACACATGCTCTGGTGACAATCTTGCAACATCCCTTTATCCTGTTGTAACCCTGTATCCAAATTTAACCTGCACATTATACCCAACCCCACCAACAACAGCAACAACAACAATGACCCAAGCTGCAATTCAATCCCTAATCCTACATCATTCACAATATCAAGCCAGGAGAAATGTCAACCCTACTGTTGGACCACTGCTACATGTTTACACTAAACTATTTATAACTGACAGTGACACACAAATATTTACAATAAGTGCTTTATTATCATTTCAAATATACATAAATGCTTCCACAAAATGAAGCAAAGAAATATAACAAAAAAGGTGTCCATGATCGAATGATAAATCGTTATCAAGTCAAATTTGAATTATCACTTAAATGTTGCTTTACATATAGAAGTGAGTTGCTATGGTACAAGAGCACATGGCTGTAAAATATTACATGATTTAACAATAGGGAAAATATGAAAATAAACATACTACATGCTACATTTTAGAAACCTAAACATCCACCAAAAAGGTGTCCAAAAATCAGTAGCACTAGCAGATAGATTTACGACTGGTTAATTTCATATCTTCTGTCAAGAGCAAGAAGGACATTGACTCATAGCACTTTACAAAGAGACAACACCCTTCTGGCTCTCACCAAATCCAGACTTGTCTTATAAAGAGTTGCGATTGATCCAAATCAATCGCAAGTTTGCAGTCCCCTATCCCTTATGATGTAGTTGTGATTCATATCAATCGCAAACAGCTCTTATAAGACGAGGCCCAAGTGTACAATTATACATTCAAGAAAAAGAGGGATAAAATATACTGAAGTTTGAAATAAGAGACATGAATCATTCAGCATCTAGTGGGTGAAAAATTCATAATCATGAATTATACAATACTGTTCACAATGTCTTTAATCTGCCAAGTGTCAAAATATTTATTCTGAACAAGTCACTGCAAGGCCTAAAAAAAAAGATGTTGTATTGCCCTTCATGACCAACCCCCAAAACTTGAAATCTACGGTGGTTTTTTTTTAACCGTTTTTATAGAAGAAAAAAACCTGAGAAATATCAGCCAAAAGAGGGAGTAAAAAAAAAGAAGGATTTTTGACCGACCGAACCATTTTTTGGCATCTAAAGGGCAATACAACATCTTTTTTTAAGGCCTAATTCTGTAACAAAATATATTGACAAAATAAATCCAGTCATGGAATGAGAAGTTGTTTGCATCATTTCCATGAAACGATTTGAGCTTGTCCATTTAGTTACAAAACTATGGTAGCTTTTACAGGAATAAGGAACTTTACATCGGAGGACTAAATCTACCCGCTTGAACCTAGACTCAAGTTGGTACACGTTTATAAAAAACGGCCAATATCTTTATAGCTTATCTCATTTGCAATCTGCAAACGTGTTTACATCCCATGTCTGCATTATAATATCAGCACGCATGAAGCATAATCAAACAAGCAGTTGACAAAAATAAAGGTCTATGTTGTGTTCCATAACCAGGATTTACCTTTAATGTTCAAGATGATGTTCTGATATCCCTTAGTTCAACACTGTATTTAAGCTCAATATATGAGGCATTTTATATGGACTGATTTGTAACACAGTTTAGCCTGTTGTTGCCCATGTTACAACAAAAGGATGTCAGAACATAGTGATGGCATTGCAATACCAATGAGAAATGATCCATTAAATACAAATTATTTGGTCCAATCGAATATCAATATAACAGGAGAACTTCTCCTCTTGTACAAACCTTAAAAACAGAGAAGAGACAAAGAGACAGAGAAAGATCAGCACAAGTTAAAAGTCTACTTTTCTGGACGTGCCATGTGTCTAGTGAATGTTATACCAGCAATGTTGCTGTCAACATTACATACCATTTTATCTTGATGCTACAATACCACATATGGCACTCACCTGTCCACCAAGACGTAGGCCCAAATTCAAACAATACATATTCTCAAATAGTTGAAATGATAACAAATTCATCCATTTACTGTAAAGTCAGAAACTTGTGCAACATGCTATTTTTCAAGATTCTTTAACAATGGCCATTTTCAAAGCAAAAAAATTAATCGCACAATAAAACAATACAGTGATGTATCAGTGGGATTTAATGGTTATGTGGCATGAAAATTTCACAAGTCTGAACCATTCGCAAAATTTGCGAACATTTCATGCAAGTGAAAGCTTCCGAGTTGACAGTAAATGCAGTATTGAATAGTTATTTTATGTATCATTGCAATATCTCAGTCTGCGTTGTGTGTGGAGAGTATCAACCCCATGCCTCACTGGTGCAGTAGTGGAGTATAAGCCTGCCATCGCTACCATAACACTGCAAGAAATAAAGAAATAACTTTGTAAGATCAAAAGAGAAAAATGGATGGAGTGAAATTCAGAAGGAGAGAGTCGTGTTGATCAATTTGGGGTCAGAATCTACAGATAAATGAAACCTGGAAATTTGTTTTACATTATGAATCCAAGCAGAGTCTAAATCCTTAGCAACTTGAATTTGACTCAAGTCTGCAGCTGACTTTTGAAAAGGAACATGCAGACTTTCCGCCTTTCTTCATGCTCTACGTTCCAAGACTCACAAGATCTCAGCACATATCCACATACAAAATCTACTCTATCAATTCAACTTTAAATATTTCATAAATTTCTACTTCTGTTGGACGATATCATAAAGAACAAATATTCATGATGGTTAGTGCTTTTTGCCGAATATTTTCATTAAATCCACAGGAAAAAAAGGCATTTATGATCGTTTAATGTGTGGACACCCGACCCCCATCATACTTACCTCAAAGAGATTTCTTATTTCTTGGTCTGGTGCTGGTGCAAAAGCTTGATTCACATACAAGAACTAAAAGATAGGGAAAGAAGAGATGAACGGGTATATATCTTTAAATAAACATTATAACAGAAAAGATATTCATTCATAGTGTGATCCTACTCCAATTGTTTTTCTTCCAAATATTAAAAATTGTGACAATGTGCCTTTTCATTATAATGGGCTAAAACACACACACAAAATCATTAGATTTAAAGAAATATGCAATGGCAATGCCTTCCTTTGTAAGTTGAATTCAAGTGAAAGACACGCCTTAATTGCTTTGTCCAAAACTACAATATGCACTTTCAGGCAGTTTTAATTGCTTATTAAGGGTTGATGAAGATGTAAGTACATACAGTAAGCCGCATTTACCATACAAATATTTTTCTGTGATTTAATGCAAAACCAACATTAAGGTCTTAGAACTTTAGAAGCACATGACTTACTAATGACTGTGAAGGATCACATTTCAGGTATTTATGGATAAAGTCAATGACCCATGCAACCTTCTTGTTGGCGTCAACAGCCCATTTCTTCTTCTTCATGATCGGTGCACTGCCTGTCGCCTTGAGTAGAATATCAACTGTAAGGATGAAGAAGTAAATTTAAGACAATTAAACTTTTGAGCACAACTTAAATGCATGAAAAAAAAATGATGAAACTTTCATTATTATATATGTGTGTTGACACACTTTTGTGATGTGATAAAATTGACACTAGACCCCTAGGTCTATTGAGAATGAATAAAAATTAAAAAGATTACCGCCTTCTATCATCATAACTATCATCATCATCATTTATCAGACTCAGAGTCAGCATTTTCCTCTTACTTTAAGTCTCTAGTAGTCTATTGAGAATGAATAAGAATTAAAAAGATTACCACCTTCTATCATCATCATAACCATCATCATCATCATTTATCAGAGTCGGCATTTTCCTCTTACTTTAAGTCTCTAGTAGTCCGACGACTTTTTACGAGGGCTTACAGTACGTGTACAGTGGTGTTTGAGATATTAATGTTTTTCCAACACACAATGACTCTATGAATGAGTGCCCTCTTGTCTTTAGAGTCTTTAGACACTTAGTTTAGGTCATAAATTTGAAGAAAATTCAAGTTTGAATGCAATAAAATATAATTAAAAAATAGTTAAAAACAAAACTCAGTCATGTCCATGATGACTCACTCAGTCACTGACACTGGCTTGATAGAGTCACGATTGCTATTGTTTTTGGTCCCTGCAAAATGCTTTCTGTGTTCGTCTTCAGAGATAAGCATAAATTTTGTGTAATACATAATAAAAATGAATAAAAAAACGCGACGAAATAGGTTTATTAACGCAGAATTGCAGTTAAACCTTCAGGCTTCATTGCAGATTGTCTGGACTATTTCTAACTAACATGAACGAAAACACACGGGACTACAATATCCGGAAGAGAGTGAGAGTATGATTATTTACCCTTATCTGATTTCTTTTTGACCACATCCCCTTCCTTCGTTTGTTTACTAATCTGGTCATTCTGTGTTCCAGGATCAGCTGTTTCATCTCCAGCTCCAGTTGTACTCTGTGCTTCTGCCATTTCTTAGTATTTTAGACCAAAGACAAGTGTTGACTTCGAAGCTAGCTAGATTCGTCGATATCGATATCAAAACAAATCGTTTAATCGGTTCTTGAAACGTCGTCGGTTTTGAGCAGAAAACTTCAACTTCAGTTCAGGAAAACAAAATTCTTTGACTTTTTGGCTTCATGTGGAGTAACAAATATGCTTATCAAGGAATACCGTATATGCATGCCTCTGAGTGTGGAAGAGGTGAGTATTATAATTTCATACATCAGTTAAATTAGTTTTTGAAATAGTTTTTGAAAATGTTATTCTCGTCGTTATCAAGAAGAACGACACGGTCTGCTGACCAAGGCCCGCAGTTCGGGCGCAGGTGGATGCGAAGTTTCGCAGCCCTCGCGATCGCGGCTCCTAGTTATTGGACAATTAGCGCGTTTTCGGGAGTGTCAATTAAAAACGACCTTGATGACTGTTTGATCGGGGCTTCAGCTCAGGTTTGATATAGTTTAGCAGGAGACTAGTAAATAAGTTCTACATTTGTACAACTACTCTTTAATATGTGTATGGATCATGTTGATTGCTGCGAAAGTGCATTAGATCTATTACTGATTCGACTGCAAGAGCAGAGGTCCACATAGTCTAACATATTTACATGAAGATTATAAACAATGAATAAACAATAAACAAAAATAAGAGGGGAAGACATACTAGACCTAGACTTTCTACAGATATAAAGAGAAACAAAACTAAAACTTCAATCAACCTCTGCCTTACTGTAACTTATCATGATCAAGGCCAAGGGCAAGGCTAGGCTAGCCTGACTGAGTAGAGGGGTGCACTTTTGCCATCTATTCCAGAGCAGAGAGTGAGAGGCAGAGTCCTGAAACCAGCAGCGAGACACTAATAACTTTATCCCCTAACTACGGAGGTGTCTCTGATCTTCCTAAACCATTTCATGAAAAAGCTTTTAATCTTGACTGTCTAGACATTTCATTACAACAATACTAATATTTCTAACAATTACTACTACATGTAGGACTAGGAACTGAGACAAATTAAGGCTTACATGTAGTTGAATTTCCGGTTCTAGGACAATTACCCCCTGGAAAATAAACCCACCGAGGACAATTACCTCCTCATCAAAACCAAAATTCCCCCAGGACAATTACCCCCCCCCCCCCCCCGAAAATTACCCCACCCCCCAAAAAAATTACCTTGTTATCAGGGTAGACAAGCTTCTCCTTTAATGAATAGGTGGAGGGGTAATTGTTTTCAGGATGGTTGTCCTTAGTTGTCCTGGGGGGGGGGGGGGGGTTAATATCCTCAGGGGGTGGTTGTTGTCCTTGAGGGGTAGTTTTCGGGGGGGGGGGGGCGGTTAATATTTTGCCTCATTTAAAAAAGGGGAATTTTAGGAAAACTGCAATTATTTAATAAATTAAGAAATGAACAGATTGAAAATAGTAGCAGGGGACAAGAGATACAAAATAATTCAGTAAGTATGTACATGTACAAAAGAATTGCTTATAAAATACAATCGCGATTATTTCATTAAAGTCATTTTATGACAGTTTTGTGTTTGTGACCCCCTGATAAATTCATTTGATAGTTAATAAAATACACCTTCATTATATTTGTATAGTAAAATACGATGGTAGTAATAACTGTGTCTAATGTTTTAGGCTTCAACAAAATATCAAAATGACAAAATCTACCGGTATGCCTGCAATACCTTACAACACATGTTTTAACCTACTGGAGTATTCAGTTTACACATTTGGGGATAGAGTTTATCTTGAAATTGATATGGGTCTTTAACTAGAGAATATATAACTGGCTATGGCTTGCCCACTGTGGTAGATTTAGTACCCATAGTTTTTATGCCTCCGCTACAAAGCTGCCGGAGGCATGATGTTTTCAGGTTGTCCGTCTGTCCATCCACTGACCGAAGTACCAATTTGAGATTCACATAGACTAGTGATCTCATATTTCAAACAGTCATAAAATTACTATTAGTCCGATTCATTTCAAACTTTTGCCATTCTGTTTCTGTTATTTTTTCTGCTTTCATACGAATCAACTTGTTACAAGGGTTGGATTGCCCTTTGATTAATCAACCAGAATTCTATACTAGCAGTCTCTATATTAGCATTTGGGGGAGGGGGCACTTTAGTTGTTATGTAGGACTTTCAAATGATGAACAAGGGTCACAAGGGTGCCTCATATTCCTGGCTAAATATTGTTTGTGTCTGATCACTTTGATATAGCAGTTTGTGTATTTAAGAGTTTATAGACATAAATACATGTATTAAATTGTAATTGTATGGTACATGTATATAATTTTAGTATACAGTAGATACTGTACAAACATGTAGACATAATTTTCAGAGTTAGTAGATCAAATGGAAACAGTTAATACTCCACATACTGTAGAAACCAACTTAATCAAAATAGTAATCTCAAACACTAGTAGATACAGGACATGCGTACATTCTACATTGTACATTAAAATGTACATGTACAGTGTGTATTTTGCAAAACTTGTCAAATCTTGAAGAAAGTACATGTACATGTCATACATTGTAGACCTTATTTGTCTTTGAGCTTTCAAGAGCTTTCAGGACCTCGTTTTTGGAAGTAACATTTAACAATTTAAGCATTTCACCTGCATGCCCGACTATGTACTTGTATACAAATTTGCTGTCAACATGAACCCTCTTTCCTGGCTTTCCACTCTCTGGCCATTTCACTGTCAATTATTTCCCTCCTTGTCTGGGAGTAGGTTCCTATCTTAGAATTAGTCATTTCCCACTCAGCCACAAGGCCAGAATCCTTCAATTATCTGACAACTTGAGACTTCCGCATACAAGCTAGACCCTTTGAAAGCATTATGTCAAATTTCCCTGGGTAAAACGGGTTTCATTTTCATTGTAAATTGTAATTCCACAGTATCATTTATGACTTTACATGTATATGTGCCCATTTTATTAATGTATGATATACATGTATATGACAGTGTCTGGGAAACAGGAAGTGTTAATTGGTATACTGTACATGTACATGTATGTAAAAAAGGGATACCTAGTACTAGATCGTTAATCAAATCTAACCATTTCCTTTGTCATGCGACAGAGTTTCGATCGATGTTTAATAGTTCATGTACTGTATGTAGAGGTGTTATGGTCTGGCAAGCATGTCAACAGACTGTGGATCACATGTGCAGGTGTTCTGTACATTTAATGTACTTTGTGGTGCGTCCTTTTACAATAAATTTACATACTGTACATGTGCTCTATACCGAGGTGTAGTAAATAGGTGCCTGGTCAGAATTTATTCCTTGAATGCTTTGAGTGTCTGATTATTAGGGCAGGTGGGCTAAATGTGCTTTGTAGCTAATGTACATTTATGTTTATTATTGTTGATAGTGATATGAAATATTTCTTTTCTTTATTGGGGTATCTACATTTACTTGTATGCATTTACAATGTATGTTTGTAGATCTATACTCGCCTGTTACTCGCCTGTTACTCGCCTGTTAGTAAAAAATAACTTTAATTAGAGCGTTGTGGCCAAAATTTCGATTGTTTAATTACCCTTATTAACCTTTCAAAAGTAAAAATTATCACACAAAAGTGTTAATGTCCTTCACATAACATGTAACATTTACATGTCATCACAATCATGTTTCTAACCTACAAGATATACAAAATTAAGATTTTCATGTTTTTTATTGATTTCAATGGTTCGTTCCGCTTCAGTGACTTCTTTATTTACTCCTTGAAAAATGTCCTTCCGTTACCTAAAAAGGGTCATTTTTCAATATTGTACTGAAAAGAGTAGTCGAAGAACACTAAAAATTACAATGCAAAGCAAGTTTAGGTAGGCCTACAATTTAGTGTTCATGTAGTCTTAAAACCCTCCTTTGTTAATTAATTAAAATGAATTAAAAGTTGTCCTTCCATTACCAAAGCTGGTAACGAAGGACAAATAGTGGTAACGGAAGGACAGGTAGTCATAGGCTGCTTTGAGCATAAAATAGGAAGAAGAAATGAATGTTTCTGTAGCTGCACTTACAGTATCCTTGGGACAAATCCACATAAATCTGTGGTATGTTCATGAGGTGATTTCTGTAATATCAAAAACCAACTATTTGATCCAGAAAGCAAGTGAGCTGTACACTGTACATAATGTCAACTTTTTAGTGAAAATCAGTTGTCTTCAATTATGAATGATACCAGAGCAGAGTCTGGTTGTAAATTGTTCCACCATACTTCTTAAAAGTGTATCATTTACATGTACATGTACTGGTCAATTCATGTAGGCTGTAATACTACTGTATCTGCCATGCCATTGACTTTGTGCACACACTGAACTTGTGAACTCCATTAATTTGTTTGATAACTATTAAAGGGATAGTTGAGTTCTGTTTTCAGACCGCAAATGCCTTCAAAGTGCATGATTATTGCTCTTATTCTCATCTACCGGTATGACATTTCTAGTGCCCTTTTAGAACCTAAAAATGCTATGAAGATAATTTTAGACCCCAAAATGTGTGAAATTTAGCCAATACGATCATACCAATTCAGCTCCACTTTAAAAAAAAACATGGTGACCGTTAATTAATTATTTAATTAAAAATAACAATACATGAGCCGGCTAATTGTGAGTAATATAAGCAACAGGAAAATGCCAACAAAAAAGCCAATATCGGCATTGGCTGAAATACGACGTAAAAGACGTTATTTCGGTTTTTTTCAACGGTTTTTTCAAATTTTTCAAAATATCTAATATTTGTGGTGGTACACAAGTATTAGAAATCGTTATATTTCAGCCGTCTCTGAACCGATTTTGATCAAACAAAGATAATTTTGTCATTTAAATATTATGTTCTTTCAAATTTGACACTCAGTTTTTCATTATCTCACAAAAAATTATTTTGTGTAGCGCCCTCTGCAACAGAACTCAACTATCCCTTTAATGAACAATAATCAAACATTAGAGTTTGCACTTTAATAGCAAGTGCACACAAATGATCCATACACTGCATAGCAGGAAAGTGATTAGGATGTAGGACTCTGGGGTTGCCGACAACACTAATTTTTAAAAAGTTTTTTTTAGCAATGAATGTTAAAAATAACAAAATTATGACTTTAAAAGGTCGTTTTCCTTGCTATTTGGTCTTATCCGAGCTGCAGAATAGTATTGATGTGGACTAATAATAATAACATCAAAGATACAGTATACATGTATGT